TCCCAACTAAAAATGGCCTTTTCAAGAACCTTCAATGACAGAAGTATCCCCACACAACCCTGGCGACCCCTCAAACCCTTAAAATGCTGCCTCGTTGTGCAGGGCTCGCGCTGCTCTGGGAGGGCTTTGTTTACTTTCTTTACAGGGGGCCATAAAGTACACTTTAGACCTACGTCGGGGGCATTTTATCAAAGGGCCTTCTAAAGGGTTCTGGTTTCGAAGCGACTCAAAGCATGCTGGCTCAAACTGTTTGGGCTCTACGCGGTCCATCCAGCCAAGAGCTCAGCTCTTGTTCTTCTTCTTGCAACATCTCTTTAAGAGAAGTTTCGATTTGACAAGATGTCGTTGCAAGCACCTTAGAGCAGTTGTCTTGGAGTGAGTAGCTCTTGCCACACGTGCCGTCCGCCCAATAAAATCCTCACACTGTCCACACTCGTGAATCAAAGGGTTCGGGTAACATTGGGCACCATTCTGGAGCACTACATCCAAATCTGTTGCGAAATGGTGCATTGAGTGTATAGTCGTCTTCAATGAAAAGCCAGGGAAATTTCTCAGCAGGCATCCATGCGCAACGTAGTTGTAGCCACGGGTAACCCGAAGGATGTGATCTCGCAGCTTCGTCATACATTTTCTTGGAAGCCAAAGCCCATGAGAGTAGAGAAGACGGAAAATCTTCAAACTCGAGTCACACACCTGGGCCAAAGCCTGGACAAGAACCATATCTCTTTGATGATCTTCATGCCCCTGCCTCTCCAACAGTCGAAGTTCCAGACGCAACCACGCCAAAAGCAGCATGGAGTCAGAGCCCTTACAGTTCGTGTAACTGAAGGAGTCCACCCGAGGCAGGTGCAAGCTGTCTTTCGTAAACTGCCTCAGGTGTGGAGTCTCATGGTTAGCAGCTGCCCAAAGCGAGAATCGGCTGTGCGCCCGTTTGAGGCGGGCCCCCAGCTCCACCGAATCGCCGAAGTCATCAAACCTTAGCTGCTTTGGGAGTATATTATATACCCCCTATAAACATAAATAATTGCAAATCTTATCATACCTAATCTTTTTTCTTGTGCGATTCTTTTAGCTACCTAGCCCAATATGTACTGAAGAGCGATCGACTTCCCATCTTACTTATCCACAAGTATTGTAACTAATATATTCTGTCAAAGAAACCACCGCAACCGCCGGCATAGGAAGACAATGCCTGAGCCGGCAATGTCTCGAGCAAGCCCGATTTTGAACACGTGTAGAAGATCGCGTTTGTACTTCCGAGCAGGGTACTCTTGGTCGAATGGGATCTTTTCAAGCTGGCCGGGAACATTCCACGGCACACTTTCATAAAGAGTCATCATCCAACCAGGCTCGCTGTTGGTCGCCTCAAATGGAAAAGCTGGATCCCCAGCCAAACACTCTGGACATATGGGGTACGACCTAGTGTCGCCGAGGCGACTGTAGCACCTTGTGAAATGCCCAGTAGCAGCGTGCCATTTTGCATCTCCTTTGCAGCCAACTATAGCGGCAAACATTTGTTTGCCGCCAACATAGATTCCGAAGTTGAAGAGTCGGGCTAAATCATCAGCGCAAGCAGATAGCACCGCCTCCAATACCTCTGGCCCCTTTTTAACCAGGTTGGTAGGGAGGACAAACACCAAATGCCGCTGCAAGAAAGAATGCCCTGCTGATGCAGGCAACTGCCCCTGAAGCTCCAGATAATCCTCATTTGTCAGTTGCATGTTTGCACAAGTTCCCTTGGGGCAAGTCGGAGGCACCGAGCAGCACCGACTGATCCTGGATGGTTCCGAGCATGAGTGGCAGGCCCCAAAGGTTGCAGCTTGAAGGTGTTCAGTCTTCTTTGTGCTATGGCCCCAAACAGTTTGCCAATTCATGATGCTGACGGGTTGTTTCTTGGATCCTGTCCCCTCATCACCGTGCAGCTGTATGGGCAGTAAATGACCCAAACCATTGTAACTGAAGGTTGAAAAGGCCGTGTGTGTAGGATGGGACCAATAGTATGCTTTCCAAAACGAAGTGCATCTTTGGGAAGTGTCGTTCACACCATCACCCCACACAACCTCCGGGTAACAGTGAAGGAGCTTCTTCAGGTAGTCGGAGGGCTTGAGATAGGGTATTCGCAGGGATTCCCCATTCAAGTCGAGAGCCACGTAACTAATTTTAACCCGAAGGCTGAGGCCAAAAGCCATGAAGAGCTTCTGCGTGCCTTTCTCTGATCTTTCTCCGGAATCGCTGCTGCCCTTGCTACAGCATCACAGTGACAGGCGTCTGCGCGCGCAGCTTCACAGGCCCGAACAAGATCCGTGCAGGCCGCCTGGGATGAATTATGGGAGAACGGGTTCCAGGGCGATAATGAAAAGCACGCACTGAAGACATAGGTCCCAGTTGCACCTCCACAACACCCAGGGCACAGGGGCTCTGTTTCACCCAAACCCTGACTTACTTAAAATAAAGAAGCCATGCGTGGCAAGTGGCGCCATCACTCACCATTTCGGCGAGTCGATGGATAAGAGCCCCAGCTTCAGGCTGCGTAGCGCGTTGACCATCATCTCCTGGCATGTGCAGGGTCCAAAGTGGCAGGTTTGAGGCTGCTTAGGGGTTCTTCTGGGCATAGGACATGTGTGCATCAGCAAGTCAGAGTGTTTTTTCTGCGCAGCAGCCCCCGTGTGCACCAAAAGTCATAAAGGTTTCAGCCCATCGATTGGACAAGTAGCTGGGCTAGGACAACTAGCAGGGCGGCTCTGTGAGCACAGAGATTCACGCAAGTTTCCTTTGTAATGGTAAGGACGTTCTATATGAAACCTAGCCAGCCACAGCGCAAATCCTGCGATCAAAAATTTCACTTCTTCTGCTTCTTGGGCTTTGAACCCTCAAGGTTCTGCTCAGTCCGCTTTGGCACTAGATTCACGTTTGGCGCACCACGATTCTTGCCTTTGCCTTTGCCAGCTGGCTGGGCAACTGCATTGCGGGGAAGAAGGGTCCTCCCATCACAAGGATGTTTAGGGTTTAGGGTTTGGGGTTTGGAGTTTAGGGTTTATGTAGGTTAAGGGTTTTGGGTTTGGGATTTAGGGTTTGGGGTTTTAGGTATATCATCTTTTGAGAATGCACCCAAAGAGCATCGCCCCTCGTCCTGCCACGACTCTGAGCCCCCAAAGATTCCACTGCCCTTAGGTGCCACAACATGGTCCGCGCTAAATCCCCGTACAAGTCTATTACCCCACATATCAAGTTCCTTATATAGGGGCCCTTATCATCTTCATAGGGGTGCAGGGCTCAAGGCTAACTAAAGTCCCAAATCGAAACGGCCGGAAGTCCAAGGATTTGTCCTCAGGTTTTTTTGAGCCCCGAAAGCTTGTAGAATGAAAGCCTTTCCCAAGCCCCAAACTGCTATATATAAGCCCTATATAGATCCTAAATCCTTTAGAAACCCTAAACCCTCAGGCCCTCAACCCTAAATTTTCTTTCACGCTTTATTTATTTTACTTGGATACTCTTGGGGATCAGGAAAGCAAAGTACTCAAAACAGAAGCCCATAGACTGCATCCACCTGAGGGGTCATATGGGAACGGAAGGTCTATCATGGGCCCGAACCCCAACCCGTGCCCCGTCAACTACACTATCTACTATGTATACACCCGTACAAACCTGGTTTACAGCGAGAGGCAGCTTCTGCAAATCAGCGATGTGCTTCCGGAGGCTGTCTTCCTGCCTGAGAACCACCAAGGTTTGGCAGTTACAGGGTTTAGAGTAATGGGGGCTAAAGGTTCAGGAGGCTTTGGAGGTTTTCATACAGTAGCTCATGTCAATGTTGGGAATTTCCCTAAAGCCACCATACTGGTATAGGGTTTATAATCATAGCAGCTCTGACTGTAAGTTAATGGTCTAGCAGCTCTGACTGTAATTTAATGTTTGCTCGCCACTTTCTATGTTGGGATTGAGGCAGCCATGCAATTAAGTAGCCGTTGGCCAAATCCTTCGACTACACCATCTGAATGAATCGACGTGATCACCTCCTCGAGCTTGTCCATGGAGTCGTAGAGGGACTGAATCTTCGAAGTCATCCTTGCAGTCTATTCAGGGCACGTGCGGCGGGGTGCGGGTCACACATGGGGCTCTTCTATTCTAAACTTTGTGCTATTGGGATGCCTCTTCTGCACGTCCGTGGGCTTTTCGATGCTTTTGAAGTCGTCAAGAAGATCACTTAGCTTTTTGATGTGTTTTGTAGCACATGCCGTCATCTTGGTAACCGTGCTGGAAGGGAGGGCATCAGGGTCGATCTCTGGAACCCCTGCTTTCTTCCGCAGGTCCATGACTTCTTTGGCTTCCGTAGGCTTCACATCCTTGTCTACATCGATTGAAGTTGCGGCACTGGGTCCTGAAAAAGGTTTACAAACGCCAAGCACCTACTGGACCTGCCTAATGATATGTTGTGAACTTTTAGGCTACAGAAGCCTCAACACAAACCCTATGATCCCATAGCAACCCTAGACGCCCCACAAGTAACCTCCACCGTCGTTTGCGTCAGGCTCCAGAGCTGCGGGGCAGAGGGAAGGATCCTGGCTGGCCACACCCCCAGCCATAAACCTAGACTCGGCTCGACGAATGTTGCGCTCGCCTTGCCTCAGTTGCAAAGGGGGTTTAGGGTTTAGAGGGCTTAGAGGGTTTATAGGGTTACCCAAACCGCCAAAGGTAAGTAAAATAATGGCCCAAGACCGTTAAACATCGCCCGAAAGGCTATCATTCTACATCCTCTTGCGGTTCAGGTATATAGGGTTTAAAGGGTTTGCGAGGTATAGGGTTAAGGGTTATCGGGTTATATACAGGAAAATGACACAATCCCGATCATGCTGAATCAGTTCACTTGTGGGTAGCTCGCACAGCCTTCTCACACCAGTAGAGGATGAAATTGGGCTCGTAGCGGTCCCTCCTACATCATCACGTTTCAGGACAGGATTTCAACATATGCCAAGTTATGCTAGAAGGCTGATGGAAGCTTCCTACACACGCAGAGCACAGCCTCAAGAACTTCTTTGGGTTCTCGCAGCAATATTTCTTGATTGCAGCCACTCGCTTCCTTAGACACGCCACTATAGGAAACATGTTGTGCTGTCAGCAACAAGGGTGATATGCCGTCGAATCTTTCAAAGCCCCTGCGCATGGATTGCGGACATGAATATGCTGTAGAAGGCTCTCTGTCTTTCCTGATGCTAGCATGTCTTCTTCAGATAGGAACTCACCTTCGATGATAAGTTCGTCTTCGAAGTAGGTCTCCACGATTTGGTAGAGTTCTTGCGTAAACTCTTCCTGAAGGAACCATGTGAATGAGGTTGGCGAGTTGAAGTCAAAGACCCCCAAAACATATTGAGAGCAGGAATTGCTGGCCACGTAACGACGTCGTACCCGCAACTGGCAAGTATCTTCTCGAGGCTTTTGCGGGCTGCACCCTTCTTTTTCCATTCGGCTACAAAGCGCTCTGGCACTTTATGTGAGCCGTTGGCCCGGGGTTCAAAGACCCGCCGCATACGGCGGTCCACGGCTCCGGGAGAAAGCGACAAATTTTTCTTTGGGGGTGATGGGTGGTTCACATCATCCTTCACGGGGATGGACTGCAAGGGGATGGGGTTTCCGGTCTCATCGCACAAGTTGGGACCCTCATCCTTCATGTCTTCACCCCCCGGCGAGTTCTGGCTGGCATCCAACCCATCATCCATGTCTGCATCCTTTGCTTCGCTTGGCTTCTCATCCTCGGGGTGTGCCTCCTCGTTGCTGCCCTCAGCTTCCTTGGTTTGTGCCTCCCTGCTACCCTCAGGTTCCTCGGTTTGTGCCTCCCCCTTGCTGCCCTGCAGCTGTTCCTTGGACCTTGGGCTGAAATCAAAACCCATGGTGGGCTGCCTGTCTTGACTGTAAGACTGAGAATCAGGTCTTCTGGCTACCCATGCTGCAGATGGCTCAGGCTCGGCGTCTGGAACCTTAAGCGTGTCTGCAAAAGATGCTTCGGATTTGATTCCAGGCAAGGCAACCTAATTAGA